ACACACACATACACACTCACACAAACACAAACGCACACACACACAGACACACACATACACACTCACACAAACACAAACACACACACACACACAGACACACACATACATACTCACACAAACACACACACACAAACACACATACACGCAGACACACACACACAGACAAACACACACACACAGGCACAAACACATGCAGACACACACACACAAAAACAGGAAGTGTAGATTATTGGTGAATGTAGAGAGGACTGACAACTTCATTCCATGGTCTTTGCTTCCCGATTCCGAAGTTGTGATGATCATCTCTTCAGTTAACCAGGTCCAGGTGTTCAGGTGTCTTTTCCTGGAAGTTTGCACTGGTTTGTACGATGTACAGAGTGACTGATTTGTGTGGAAAATGCCTCTGATGTATCAATGTGACAGCCCTGTTGTAGGAAAGGTAAGGGATTCAGTTACAGTAAAATACATCATGAGGTTTCAACTGTGACGCTGTATTTGGCCGATAGCAAAAAAAAGCATTGTTTGCAACTGCTTTTTTTTCAGGGTGATTAAAAGCCAAGACGAGAAATTCAAAACCACTCGACCAAGCTGGGCTGAACACACGTTAGGAGTCAATAAATTCCGTTCTGTGTATTCAATCATTCAATGTTGTATTTCTGCAAAAGGTGTCATCATAGAATCATAGAATCGCTGCAGCATAGAAACAGGCCATTCGGCCCATTGAGTCTACACCAACCCTCCGAAGGGCATCCCACCCAGACTTGCCCCCCCTACCCTATCCCTGTAACCCTGCATTTCCGACGGCTAACCCGCCTAACCTGCACATCTCTGGATACTATGGGCAATGTAGCATGGCCAAACCACCTAACCTGCACATCTTTGGACTTGGGAGGACCCAGAGCACCCTTCCAACCCACCCCCACCAAAAGGAAATCAGGGGCATCATTGTGAACCAGGGCAGAAGGCATGCTGAAATGCCCTTCAATGCTAACAGTGAGCCCTAACATAGACCATACTGAGAGAAGCACTGCAATAAGCAAGGGAAATTATGGACCTGAATGTGAGGTCAATAAAAGTGGGAGTGGGCTTCTCCTGAACCCACATTGAAAAACATCCATCCCAATCACCACTACAGTCTTTAGTTACCTTGCTACAGTCCGTGTACAGTCCCTTTGCCTTTTGCATCTTCTGAAGACAGTGTGATCCCTCCGATATATTTTCAGCGACCACTGGTGCAAATTCATAGAATCTAATGCAACACTGAGGCACTCAGTGGGGGGGAGGGGAGGGCAGTGTTACAGGAGGATACTCAGTGGAGGAGGGGGGCAGTGTAACAGGGGGATACTCAGTGGGGGGGAGGGGAGGCAGTGTTACAGGA